GCCTTCATCACCTGCAAAAATTATCCCCTCTTTATTTGTCCCTCCTGCCCCCACACTGTGAGCTAAGGATAGACACCATGACTTGTGCTCCCTTGAATATCTCACTCCAAGCACAGCCTCGGGCACATGATTAAATACTCAAAATAACATATATACACACACACACATTTTAAAGTAAAAAAAAAACACATATATTTTGCAATGCTGGGATCAAACTTGGAGCCTTGTGTATACCAGACAAGCACTCTACCACTGACCCCCCCTAAATATTATGTTTTAAAAATATTAATTTGCAACTTATGCAAATTTTATGCAAAAATAGTGAAAAGAACTTTCATATACCCTTGATCAAGATTCATCTGTTCTAAAGATCTTGTTACATTTGCTCTATCACTGTTTCTCTTGACACAAACAGACAAGTGCCAGCACACAATTTTTTTCCTGAAACACTTGAGAGAAGGTTGCAGACACTGGGTCCCTTTGCCCCTTAGTATTTCAGTGTTTTTGTTTCCTAAGAACAAGGACATTCTGTTATATAAGCACAATAGCGTTATCAAGCTCAGGAAATGTAACATTGATACAGAACACTATCATAGAATCTATAGTTCATTTTCAAATTTTAATTGTCCCAATAATGGCCTGCATAGCTATTTCTTTAATCATCCATGATCCAGTCTAGGATCACATTTGTAAATAGTTGTCATGTGTCTTAGTTCTCATAAATCTCCTTGAATCTTCAGCCTTTCTCTTTCTTTTTTTTAAAAAATCTCTTATGATATTGACGTTTTGGAGGAGTATAGGTCAATTAGAATGTCCTTCAGCTTGAGTTTGCTTGGTATGTCCTTTGTGTGGCATGATGAGTCGGGTTATGTTTTTTTTTGGCAGAAGTAAAACAGATAGGCTAGATTATTGTTGATTTTTAAACTTTGATTCCTTGGTCAGAATGATGTCTTCCAGGTTATTTTCTCTGTAAAGATTCCATTTTTTCTGTTGTGTACTTCATAACTAATGTATGTTAAGTATTTTGAGATTATGTAAATAATCATGTTTCTCACAAATTCTGACTCCCTAGATTTATAATCTATTGGTGGCTATTGTCAACCTTGGCCAACCAGAAACTTCTGTTCTAAGCAAAAGAAGGCATCCTTTCTGCAGGACTCATTTAATCAGTGGGTGCATATTATTTTGAAAATGACTATTTGGTAAACACTACAGAGTCTAGGCATAGACAAGATGCAGCCTGGTTTGAAAGCCCATAATACTTTATAGCACTTGTAAACCTTAGATGAGGCTAGTTCTCCTGAAAGCTCCCTGGTCTTTATCAGGGCCCAGAATGGACTCTACAGCTTTCCCAAGATAGTCTCCATGCAGAAGGTAGCAGGCAGCAGCTGTTGGCTTGGTATACCCCACACCCGTGCATCCCATGCCCGCCTGCTTTTGCTCTTCTCCATCAAACTTTAGAGAGTTACCTTTTGGTGTATTTGGAAAATATGGAATGCAATTCAGTGTTCCACACAGGCTCTCATGTCATTCTGAAGACCCACATGTTAATGTGCTTGGACCAAGGTGTCCTTTTCATGTAGATTCATGTACTTAGAAGGACAGGGTACCATGGACTACATAGAGGGCAGAGGGTGGTGGGGCTGTTTCTGTTTGGGGAGTGTTTTATTTCCAGCTCCACAACTCCAATCTGTGTTTCCATCTTCATATGGCCTTCTTTCTTCTGTGTCTCACATGATGTTCTCGTGTGTGTGTGTGTGTGTGTGTGTATGTGTGTGTGTGTGTGTGTCCAAATTTACCTCTTTTTAAAGGACACTAGTTGGATTATGGCCCACCCTGAGGCCTTCTCTTAACTCGTAGCTGAATCTTTTTTTTTTTTTTTAACATTTTGTAATATGGGGGGCAGAGCTCACAAAAGAAGTTACCTGAATCCTTAAAACCCACAAAGTTGGAGACCTTTTTTAAAAAGAACAGATACCAAAATATATTTTAGTTGTTGAAGGAAGCAAAAAAGGACATAAGATCTAGAAGATAAAAGCTGAATTTAAAACCATGCTAAAGAACAAATTAAAACAAAGAAGAAGAAAAATGTGTCAGAAGTTAATCCTATTATAAATGAATATCATCTCTACGGGACTGTATGACTCACCTTAACAATATTCAAACAACAAAAACCCTACTAACAAAAGAGCCTCAACACTCCTTTAGGGTTGGTTGTGACAGAATTTGTCCTGCTTATGGGGTATGCATGAAAAACAATATAAAGATAATATCTAAAATATGAAACTGTTTCTCTAAATAGCACTTATTGGTCTTAAATCCAATTGAGTAAGTGATCAGCTATGACTTGAAGCTTGTCATCATGGGATGGGGGAGTCATTTAAAGCCAAAGAGGACTCTTCTATACTTCGTTCATGTGCCTGGAAAAAGTATAATATTGCAAGTTTCTCCTCAGTGTTAAATATCTACTGAGAATTAAAGAATAGATGAAACTTCCTAGCCATTTCCAAGAATTCACATGATAAAGGGTAATCATTTTAGAGTTTATATATGCTCAGTTTTCTTAAAGCCGTAGATTTTATTTTAGAAAGGAGAATGTATATGGCATTAATAAACCAAATATGTCGTACATTCTAGAATGCCAGATTAAGGGATCTTTATAGTGGCAAACCTTACATCTGCAAAGAGCCTTTTTCCAAATAGGGGCACATTCACAGGACTTCAGCGTACCTTTCTGAGGAATATGATTCCATCTGTAAGAGGAACCATATCTGAAATCCAACCCATCTGAGAACCTGAAATGGAGTGCTGTTGTCTATGATATTTAGCTCAGGAGAACACAACTGTCTCTCCTGCTCACTCTAGTTTTGGTTGGCTTGCCAACATGTAAGGAAAGAAAATGACATAGGCAGAGCATGCTCAGCCCCCTTGAAATAGATTTAGGACATTATTTTCAAATGATCACAAGCTATTCATGTAACTATTACATAGCAGACAATAATAGAAAACAATCGCAGTCTGCACAGCTCTTGCCTCTGCATTCCCTCCTATAATTCTAATAGTCGCTTAAGGATATAAATATAGCTGGGTGGTGGTGGCGCATGCCTGTAATCCCAGCAGCTTGGGAGGCTAAGACAGGAGGATCCTGAGTTCAAAGCCAGACTCAGCAACTTAGCTAGGCCCTAAGCAATTCAGGGAGACCCTGTCTCTAAATAAAATATAAAATAGGTCTGGGGATGTAGATTAGTGGTTAAGCAACACCATGTTCAATCCCTGGTACAAAAAAAATATTAATATAGTTGTCACCATCGGACAGATTGGAAGCATGAGACTCAGAGAGGCAAAGTGAGACTTCCTGTAGGTCACACAATTACTGACTTAATAAATTCAAATAAGGTAGGGTCCTGTCTGAAGTTTATCCAATAGAGCATAGCCATTCTCTTAATTAGCCATCAGATATTTATTGCACGTCTGCCATGGCTAAGTGAGAGAAGGTATGACCAAATCTGGGGCTATAGCTCTGGTCTTTATTTCCTGATGCATTCTTCTTTCCAGTGTAGCTCTCAAGTAACTACAAACTGAAATATAGTTCCAAGACAGTGATTGGAGTGTATATAACTGGGTCAATTTCAGATTTTACTGCTATCTTTGATAATCTTCTCAATTCTGTGGCAATAAGCATGTTAGTCTATAATCCCTTCTTCTTTCTGCTTTACACCTGATAAACTGTTTAAGAAGCCATTTTGTCAAGGTACATAAAACCATTGCTTTCTAATCTTACTGGGGTTGCATAATATTTATCTAAAATAATGTTTGGAGGAAAGACATGCTTTACCACTTGAAGAATTCTGCTCTAACAATGTATCAAGGAAATAAAGAGTTCAGCATGTAGGCAGGGGTGAGGGGGTGTAGGTGAGTGGTAGAGTGCTTGCCTAGCATGCATTACACCCTGGGTTCCATCCCCAGTGCTGTCCAAAAAAAATAAGCATGTTCCCTTCATCCTCTGAAATGGAATGCTGACATTCCCTTATGTCCATTTCAGGTCTCCGTCAGCATCATCAAAACAATCAGTGCAGGGCTGAGGTTGTAGCTCAGCAGTAGAGCGCTCACCTAGCATATGAGAGGTCCTGGGTTTGATCCTCAGCACCACATAAAAATGAATAAATAAAATAAAGGTATTGTGTCCAACTATAACTAAAAAATAAATATTAAAAAAATCAGTGCCAACAAGGATTCATTAACAAGCTACTGTGTGCCCAACCCTAGGCTAGGTACTAAAGGAAAAAGAAGAGGAGCTTCCTTTCCAGTGAGCAATGTGGCATCCACATGGAAAAGAATGAGCAAACAGAGGTCTAGCATTTGCTAAGTACCTTTTAGGTACCCAACACTTTACAAACCTTTTAAGGCTGGAGTTACCCCTGTTTAATGGATGAACAAACTGAGGAGTGTTAGGGTGTAGACAGCATGCCTAAGATCCTGTAGCTAGTAAATGGTAGAACTAGGATTTGAACACAGGTCCCTCAGACTTAAATTTAGAGCATAATATGAAAGAGATGATTTATATCAACTACTGGGTTGCATGAGCCAACCAAGGAATACTGAAGGACTTTCAGGGAGATACATGGAATGTATGAAGGCCAAGTTGGGGCCTTTTGGGGGGGTAGGGTGTGTCTGGAATCTAATGGCCTGTGGCAGATGTTCCCTTTACAAGTCCCTGCCTAAAATAACCACCTGATCCCATTGAAGGGCCCAGGCTTTATCCATCTCTTCTGGGGAGGTGGGAAGGAGAAGCTGGTTCAGGTTTCTACATTCAACTCCAAATGCCCCCTCTCTGAGGTTAGCTGAGCTACTACTCTTCCCCAAGTACCTGACTTCAAGGGGGTAGCTCAACACCAAGAGCTTCCTGGCCTGCCTTCTCCCTACTTCCCACTTGATACTTCTGTTCACATTGAAGGGATAAAAGGAATTTAACATGTTTCTGCTTTTTTTTTCCATGGCAGGGAGAAGAACTGGCTTAGGCAAATACAGAACCTTTCCAGTCTGTTCAAGCCATTACCAATGGATAGCTCCACCTGAAACATCAGGTCCATAGATTAAAATAAAAGAAGGCCACTCACATTCTCTGACTTTTCTTTCCAGTGGGGATAATTAAGATGGGGGAAAAGGGAAACTTTATTTCTTTTTCTCTCTCATGTTAATTTTTTTGGGGGGTTGAACCCAGGGGCACTTTATCACTGAGCTACATTTCCAGCCCCTTCTTTTATTTTTTTTGGGGGGACAGGGTGTCCCTAAGTTGCCCAGACTGGCTACCTTGAACTTGTGATGCTCCTGCCTCAGCCTCTTGAGTTGCTGGGATTACAGACTTACATCACTCATCCAAGTGAGCAAGTTTTGTTTCTAAGTCTATACTTTTAGTTCTCAAGAATCAAGGAGGGGTGGTATAGAGTGGTGGTGGAATGGACTTGTTTCAAAAGAAAAATTGGAAAATGAAAGATTTTATAAGGCACTTAAAAGAAATGCAGGATTGTGCTTGAGAGTTGATTTTTTTAAAAATTTTGAAATAAATTATAGATTCACAGGAAGTTGCCCTTCACCCAATGGTTACATCTTACATAATGATAGTATAATAGAAAGCCTAGAAAATTTGATACAGGTACAATGTGTGTCTAGTGCTATGCCTTTCTATTAAATGTAAAAATCTCCTTCCTATACCCCTTTATACTCATACCCACACCTCTCCCCATCCCTGCCTCTGGTAACCATTACTTTGTTCTCCATCTCTATAATTTTGCAATTTTAAAGTACTTTCCTAGCCAGTTGTCATGGTTCATGCCTTATAATCCCCACAACTCAGGAGGACGAAACAGGAGGATTGCAAGTTCAAGGCCAGCCTCAGCAACTTAGTGAAGTACTGTCTCAAAACAGAAAATTAAAAAAGGCTAGACATGTACCTCAGTGGTAGAGTGCTTGTCTAGCATGTGTGGGGTCCTGGGTTCAATCCCCAGCACTGCAAAAAGAAAAGAAACAAAATAACAACTCAAAGTAGTACTAAGATGAGAAGGGGTTAGCAGAGGGGAAGCCCTAGGGCAAGGATTAATTTAGACCCCTTCCCCCAATGGACTATTACCTTGCTTTTCATGAAGAGTACCATGCTCCCCTCACCTTAACAGTGGCACACACACAAGCCAGGCTCAGACCTATTAGGATGTTGTGCCCTTTAGAAGAAATGACTTTAAGCTGGTGGCTCCATCCACAGCTGGCCCCAGAGATATAGGAGGGAGCTGATATCTGCCTTTGAACCATGGAACACTATAGTCCTGGTAACTGGCCCCAGGTTCCTACATTCTGAGTAGGAATCCCCCACCTTCCAGAACATTCCATCCTTCCCCTTCGGTGAAACAGTGAGCAAAAGAAAGACAGAATGCACCTAGTTCTGTGCCCTACTCCAAATGTTCTTGCTGTGGGCTGCATCATAGCCACAACTAAAGGCCTTCCATATGCATGATGAATGTAGGTACTTATGATTCAAGTTCCCCACCAACACCCACCAAATAACACATCCATGTAATTTGTGATTTCCAAAGTGAAAATGTTATTGGAATCAAAAGTCCAGGCTTCCCACCACTTAAGTACCAATATTCAGGAGGTGAGTGTTGGGAGGAATGAATCAGGCCAGCCCTGAGAAAGGTAATGGGGCTAGTTCCTCAAAGATCTATCTTCTTGGCTCAGGGAGGCAAGTGGTTTTTATGGGGAGGGAAGGAAGTGATGAGTCTGTAGGCTGGACAGGCTCTTCCTCAGCGAGGGCAGTTAACATCTAGGCAGGGGCTTTTCTTAGGCCAAAGGATAGGGAAGGCTAGAAGGGCAAAAGGGAAGGGGGGAAGCCAAGGACAGGTTTTTTGTTTTTTTTTTTTTTGATGGTGCTGGGGATTGAACCCAGGGCCTGTGCATGCAAGGCAAGCACTCTACCAACTGAGCTATATCCCCAGCCCATGAAGGATCATTTCAAAGGGAGCCCTTATTACAATATCGTTTTTTTGAACTCATTTAATAATCCTACCATGTTCTTTGTTGCCTTTTTGTTTGTTGTTGTTGTTTTTAATTGTATTATGGGGGTCTGAACCCAGAGGCACTCTACCACTGATCTGCATCCCAGCCCTTTTCCTTTTTTTATTTTGAGACAGGGTCTTGATAGGATGCTGAGGCTGACCTCCAACTTGCCATCCTCTTGTCTCAGCCTCTCAAGTCTTTGGGATTACTGGTGTGCACCACCATACCTGGCTGCCTTGATTTTCTTAGTGGGTGATTTTTGTGGGCGTTCCTGTGCTATCTTTTTCTTCAGTTTTTGAGAAGTTGGAAAGAACACAGGGCCAGTGTCTGGTCTGGATGCCAGTCTTGGCTCTGCCTCTTAGTGGCTGGGCAAGCTATGCCATTAACATAGACCACACATGATTGTGTATTTCTACAATGTTCAGAATTTATTGAAAAACAATAAATTCACAGGCTACACTACTCTCAGTGGTGGCAGTTCATCAAATACTCTTGGGTCACCTGCTTCTCATAAGCGGGGCTATCACAAGTTCTTTTATTCCTATTTTAACTACTAATATCAATAATGCTGAAGTCATACATCACCCTTTACACAATATATATATTATATATATATATGAATGAAAGGGTTAAGGTGGCCACAGGAATTCAGGAGACTGAACTGAGAGCAAAGGCAGAGAGCAGATACCTGAAGACAGAGTCACTGTGGTGGTCAGATAAGATTATGAACCAGCCAAAGAATTTACGCCAGGGGACAGAGCTGTCAAAGCACAGGAACTTATTCTAGACCAAAGCCCAGATGGATGGCAGTTTCAGAGTGTCAGCTGGAAGTGTCAGCAACTTGGAGTGGGCCATGCAAGGTCGTCAGGGGCAGGAGAAACCGTGATGTGCTAAAGCCTGAGAATAGATTCAGAGGTTTGTCGCTTTGGATTTTCCTGGGCAAGGCTTGTGATGAGTGACCAGGTGACCAGGTCATTGTGCAGCTGTGTCTTGTTTTATGGGCCTTGGGTAAGGGTGTTGCTTCATTCAGTGGTCTGGCATGTTTGATAAGCTTATAGGCCTTTTTTTTAAATGAATTTGATATGCCTATGCATTCATGTCCTTTTGATTTATTTGATAAGTTCACAGGTGCTCATTTTTATTAGCATGGTTAATTTATTTATCACTTTATGACTTATGGTTGTGCTAGGCAGATGGTGGTTGTTTACTTGAACAAACAAGGCATAGTCATTCCACCTCAGTATTTATATTCAAAATGGAGTAAACGCTACTGCATTATAAAATGGAGTAACTCAGGTTTAGGCACAGCCTGAAAACTACTTTTCTATACATCATGGAGTAAATCAGTAGGGCACAGCTAACTCTACGGCCAACTTCTTTTTTTTTTTTTTGAGAGAGAATTTTTTAATATTTATTTTTTAGTTATTGGCAGACACAACATCATTGTTTGTACATGGTGCTGAGGATCGAACCTGGGCCGCATGCATGCCAGGCGAGCGCGCTACCGCTTGAGCCACATCCCCAGCCCTGAGCCACATCCCCAGCCCCGTATGGCCAACTTCTTGTGGACAGCGAGTAAATATTACCTGTGAGCCTCAGTTTCCTCATCTACTAAAGACAGAGAAATAATAACTGCCCTTCTAACTTTACAAAGGTGATCAATGAAATAAAAAGGGATTTTTAGAAAAGTCTTTGGAAGGTTTTGGAGGAAAAATACACTAATTAATACATTACTAAAATATGGTGTTAAAATATTGTCTTCAAAATGTTCTTTAACATTTTGAAAAATATTCTTAAAGTAATTCTTTTTTTTTAAGAGAGAGAGATAAGAGAGAATTTTTTTAATACTTATTTTTCAGTTTTCGGTGGACACAACATCTTTATTTTATTTTTATGTGGTGCTGAGGATCGAACCCAGGGCCCCACGCATGCCAGGTGAGCATGTTACTGCTTGAGCCACATCCCCAGCCCCTTAAAGTAATTCTTAAGTATTTTACCCTAATTATTTTGGTTTTGCTTATTTTGACTCATTCTTAGTATTGTTCATTATAATTCTTTTAGTGTGAGGTAAGATTGGCCACAAAATATTAATTCAATCCATTAGAATGTGGGATAAAGTGATCCAAAAAGTTATTTAAATGGCAGAGGAGATAAAGAATTTTTTAAAAAATTTTATTTAGCCTGGTCTCATGGCACATGCCTGTAACCCCAGCAATTTGGGAGGCAAGAGGATCACGAGTTCAAAGCCAGACTCAGCAAAATCGAGGTACTTAGCAACTCAGTGAGACCCTGTCTCTAAATAAAATACAAAATACAGCCGGGGATGTGACTCAGTAGTTGAGTGCCTCTGAGTTTAATCCCTGGTACCAAAAAAATTTTTTTTTAGTTATAGTTGGACACAATACCTTTATTTTATTTATTTATTTTTATGTGGTGCTGAGGATCGAACCCAGTGCACCTCACACATGCTAGACAAATGCCCTACCACTGAGCTCCAGCCCCATCCCTACATTGCTTATTTGATTTCCTGCTTAAAGACAGCTGCTTTTGTGGAGCTCATAGGTTTTGTCCTTTTGTGTAGGATTACTGTTTCACAACAGCACATTGTGTCCGGATAATTTGGTTGTCAAAATGTCAATCATAATCCCTATGGTTGCCTATCACCAGGTCAGTTTGTGGGCCTCTTAACCTGGTGTTTTTTTTTTTTAAAGAGAGAGAGAGAAAATTTTTAATATTTATTTTTCAAGTATCGGCGGACACAACATCTTTGTTTGTATGTGGTGCATGAGGATCGAACCTGGGCCGCACGCATGCCAGGCAAGTGTGCTACCACTTGAGCCACATCCCCAGCCCCCTTAACCTGGTTTTGTGTGTGTGTGTGAGTGAGTGAGAGTGAGGGCAAATTGTCCCAAATTAGATCCCTGGGGCTTTGACCTGAGAACTTCATCAGGTTCCTGCTAGAGGCTAATTAATCATCACATCATCTCATTGCAAAACCGAGTAGCCATGCTGATCCATTAATGCAGGTCTCCAGAGT